TTGAGTGGAGGCCCAATGTCCATCTGCTACCTTAATACTAAACCTATAAATATATGCACATAGATCTATTTCCCCATCATCATATGTAAGTATATTTACATATGTACTTGCCTGTAGTTAGGCCTTTATAAATGCCCTTTGTCTCCTAGTTATTTCCTCTATTTCCTCTTATTTTCCTCTTGTCCCACTATCATGCTCTTCCTTCATTTGGATTTCAGTAATTCTTCTCGGTTACATTGCCCTTGTTCAAGCCCTACCAGGCCTCCTACATCCTCCTTGCCACTGATTTGGGATCACTTGTTGTTCCCTTGTACCTGGGTTTGTTAACACCCAGCTTGATATTTTAAGCCTGTCAAAAAGTGTTTGCCAGGATATGAAATATAGACGTATACACACTTTTTTAAAACCAGAAAATTACATTTTGCTGTTACTAAATTCCAAGGTAAATTGAACTAATGCCCTAACCCTCCATCCCTATAGACCAAGTAAACCCAAATTCATTGCAATTGAATCAGTGCCAACTCATAGAAATTTTATAAGACAGGATAGAACTACCCATGTGAGTTTCCCAGACTATAACTCTTTATGGGATTAAAAATTGGATAATGGGATGTTTATCTAATAGCATATTTTTAGCTTTTTAAATTATTATCACTGTAGATGGTCATAAAAGCACACAATACTTTAGAACTAATAATGAAAAGTAGTCTTTCTCTCTCTCCCCACCCCCCCACTAGTTCTACTCCTAGACCCAATCTGTTTAACTCATTGACCTTTTTTTAATAGAACATTTATTACAATAATAAAAATATTATCATTTTCCCCTTCTGTTTTTACTTCAGATATTAAGAATCCCCATTTTCTTCAGAACCTTTTAACTTAGTTACCTAGTGCTGCAGAGACAGAAGCTGTTGGCTTAATGAACAGACATTTAATTTTTCATCGTTCTGGAGGGTAAAGGTTCAAATCAGTGTCTTGGTCATGTTAGTTCCTTCCTTTTCGTGGGTTCCTTGATGATCTCACATTGCATCTGCCTCCTGTGTTTCTGAGTGCACACAGTTTCATCCATATCACCTTCCTATTGGAATTTTAATCTTTCTCTTCCAGTTTTAGATTTTCTCTGTCTTCATGAACTTGTGCTCTACTGCTATTGTGAGTTGGGCTCTCGTTTTTTAAGATTCTTTCGTCTTTCCATATTTCTTCCCTTTTTGCTAGAGCACACCCTCAAGTAATTTCCCCATGAGCTTGTGAGAGATAAATTTTCTGAGTCCTTAAAAACACTGCTGCTAGGAAGGGGAAAAATGAGGACCTAATGCCGGGGGTTTAAGTGGAGAGAAAATGTTTTGAGAATGATG